ATATACGTGTGATGTAATAATTTTTTAACTGAAAACGATTCGAAAAACACGTACCCTCTAGCCCTGTTCAAGGAGAGGACTGGGAGAAGCTGTTTGGTGCTGCAGACGATGACAAGGAAAATGATTTTGATGGATTTTAATGAAAATATTCAGAAATATGGTATCGTAGTATTTATTCAAGTCAATTAGGATATTATTGTAATACAATACAACAGTTTTTTAACTAAACCATTCGAAAAGTGATTACGGTAACATCTTTTGAACGAAAGAAAGCGCAAGTCATTGTTTTCGTCACGATTTGATCCCACTTTCCACTGTAATACGGACGTCATTTTAGCAAAAATATTACATTTCCGTGAATGTATTATATCAAGCACAGTATGAATAGAACAATATTTTGAGTCTTACTCTTTCCATTTACAGATTACTGTACAAGCCCATAATAATGGCTCCTAAAGTAGATAAACTTCGTTGTGTGAAGAGAAAGAAGAACACGTTGAAATTGAGTGACAAACTTGAAATAATTAAGAAACTAGTACGTGGTGTGAGCAATACTGTTCTAATGGAAAATACAACATTGGAAAGTCTACAATTTATGATATCAAAAAGGCAAAGAATAAAATTCTAGAATTCACAGCTTTTTCATTAAAACTGCTCGTTTTGATAAATGAAGCATGCTATATTTGCTAATGAATAAACTATCAAAATGTACCTGTTCTTCTCTTCTATATTCCTCCTTAAATTTTAATTTTAAAAGTACTGCCTGAGAATCCGGAAAATCCGAAAATCCGGACCGACCCAATCCCCAAGCAATCCGGATTTTTGGACTTTAACTGTATATATATATTTTTTTTTTTTCTTTTTTTTAGCTGCACCAATAAATATTAATTGTTTACAAAAAGTACCAAAGACCGAATCAGAAGATATTTTCTTCTCTCATTACTGTATAATAATTGCTTGGTGTAAAAAGAAATCCCATTATCTTTTTACATTTCTTTAACAATTACACCTGTGGTGACTATCCAGCTGTGCAGTGAAACCTTTCCAATTCTCACTACAATGAACTTGCATAATTTTAGTTATAAATTATTCATTAATATATATTCGGAAGCAAATTGTTCACGTTTGACAGAGCTCACACATGTAACTGGCTGGTGTTTCTTATATCAGTTATGCATCAGCCCCCGCACACTCTGAATGTTGCATTACACTTAGCGTGTAAAATTCTCCTTAATTCCTGTAATAACACAAGAGCCTCAAGATTAATCATAAGCTTGTGATTCTTGAGCCCCTGACTGCTGGTGCAGAGCCATGGCAGTGCAACATACCGTACAGTATTATTCTTTCTTGGTACTTTTCAAGTGTATTTTAACATTATACTGTACTACTGTACATATAAAGAAATGTATTATTTTTTATATTTTATTTTATGCTAAATATATGTGTGTTACAAGACAATACATTGTAATTTGGATCATTTCTTGTGTTAGTGAGGTTTCACAATTATTATGCAGTATCCAAAATGTCTGAGGTCCAGATGTTTACCAGGTATAGTTATCATTAGTACTTATAACCATACACATAATATTCAACCTAGTGTATTTTTACAAATATTGATATTAAGAAGTGCATACAGGCATCCCCTGTGTTACAGAAATGCAGGTTACAAAAATTTGTGGTTTGGGAATTTGGAAATTATGACCCAAAAATTTGGGATTTGACCAAAATAATTTGCCCTTATGGAATTTTAGTAAACTAAAAATAATAATAATAAAATAAAATAAAAATGCAATATACCTGTATAACAAAAATAATTGAAATTTTAATGTTTCTTTCGTGTGGATTCTAGGTGGTTGCTACAAGACGGTTGAGGACCCACAACAATGGTGTTGCTCAGAATGAATTCATTCCCCAGCTTGTGTTGAGGACTGTATTCTCCCTTACAGAATTTGGGTAAATTTTCACAAACCTTAAAAATCACAACATATGTAGAACAAAAGATTTCATCGTTGGACATTAACCCGATAACTGCAGTAGTGATTTGCCGATCAACCGCCCAGTACACAAAAAAAAAAAAAAAAAAAAAAAAAAAAAAAAAAAAAAAGCATACTGTATATCAATTTTCCCCAATGTCATTTTAACTCTTGTGGATTAAAACACAGTATATGTAGAAGAATGTGGAAACCATATACAAGTCGATTACTTACCTTAGTTTGGCCGCCACTCTCTCATAGGGCAGAAAAAGGATTGTAACCTCTATTGGTCACCCCAATGCTCGACTTATTTGACAATTTAACTAAAAGTAAATATAGATGAAGCTTTCAACATCACACTCAATGTATCTTAAATGTTTCAGCTATAAGTGAGTACAGTGGTCCCTCGATTAACGAACGGTCCAATTAACGAAATAGCTCCCATAAGGATTTTCAATTCCATTAACGAACAAAACTTCAATTAACGAAAGCCTTACGAGAAACACGCTTTGTTGTGTGCATCAGCTGATCGGCTAGTCCCCCAATACAGTAATTGGTTCTATGTTTACATTCGTTTCCAGTGGAGTAAATATCAAGAAAGTTGTGCTCTTGAATATTTTTACATTTTTTATATTAAAATAATTGGTCATTCTGAAATTTAGTTAACATATTGATAATATATACAGTACAGGGAACAGTTTTTGTGTGCCAATCAGCTGATCGAATCACCCACCAACGCTTCTCAGTTTAACTTTGTTTACAGTGGAGTGAACATCCAGTTTGTTAGTCTCGAATATTTTTGCATTTTTACATTGAAATTATTGGTCATTCTGAAATTTAGTTCACATATTGATAATATACAGTGCAGAAACTATTATGAAACACAAAGAAAGCATTAGAACCAATGCACTCTGTAAAGAATATGGCATGTCATCATCGACTGCCTCTACAATCAGCTGTTTGATATGTAAACAATGCTGCCGGTATACGACATACACACACCTCAAAGTTAAAATATAGTATTCTATTGTTTTTTATTTATTATTATACAGTATACTGTACAGTACAGTATTTAGTTTATATTTAATGTTTTCTTAATTCTATTACTGGTATACTTTTTCTGTGAGTTAGAACCAATTACCCAATACCCCATTGAAATAATAGATTCAGTTAACGAGATTTTCGGTTTACGAACGACTCTGTGGAACCAATTGTGTTCGTTAATCGAGGGACCACTGTATGTATATATATATGTATATATATGTATATATATATATATATATATATATATATATATATATATATATATATATATATTATATATATATATATATATATATATATATATATATATATATATATATATATATATATATATATATATATATATATAAAATATATAAAAAATATATATATATATATATATATATATATATATATATATATATATATATATATATATATATATATATATATATATATATATATATATATATATACAGACCTCGACTTTCATTTCGACTTGCTAGACTTAGGACCGCCGCAGATTTTTTATTAATTTTTTTTTTTCAAATGACACGCATTTTCTATACCGAAACGTTTCCAGTTAATGTAGTCTCCATGTATAATTAGAAAATTATGGGGGCCCCATGTGCATTCAGCTGACTACATTAAAGGTAAGTGCTCAGTCACATTGTAACCATTCCTTATTATTTATTACTTTCACTGTACTGTATCCATTCCTCATTATTCATAACTTTTACTGTACTGTATTTCATTGTAGATTATTTATTTAAAAAAAAAAAAAAAAAATTTATGTATGTCGGACTTACGACCTGGATTTGGGTCCCTAACCCCGTCGTAAGTCGGGGTCTATCTGTATATATATTTTATGGTAACACACATGCATTCATTCATGATTTTAAATATATATATACATCATCATAGGATTTCATGAGGTTTCTGAAATAGTGGATAGAGAAAACATACGTCTCAGTTGTGGGGACTACGAACTAGTAAACATTCCATACTTAACCCCGCCAGATATAAAAATTTTCACGCGCTGCATTCAAAACGATTTGAATTTCATAATGTGTTGCACTACGCTGCTTTACCATTTGAGAATGTATGATGCAGTTACTGGGTTTTAAGAAGTTAACTCGCACTAACTCCAATCGCACCACCTCATGCAGCACTGAACATCGTTTCTGGCGAGTTAAATTCAAGTGTTGTTTGCATTTATTATCATGTTATATCATGAATGAATCGTTTTGTGTTTAAAACTGTTTTTTTCATTCAAACATGTGCTTGTACTGTATTACAATTTTTGGCCATAAAAAAATTCCTTGGGGGAAGCATTTCAAATTTTATAACAGGAGTCAATGGGAAAATTGGTCCCATGTTACGGAAAAATTTTCATAACCCCGGGGATGCCTGTATAAATTTTTATAACCATAGTTCATGAGTAATTTATTTCTTGATATCAGTTATTATTTCTATCATAGTTATTGTTATTACACAATTTCGAGGGAAGGAAAGAATATAAAATAATAGCTAATTTATGGGTTTCTTTTGCCGAGTGTATTCTTTTCACATGACAAATATTTCAACCACTAATTCCATTAAATTTTGACCAGAGCAACATATACTTTACAGGGCTAAACAATAAGCTTTGAAAACCACGTCTTCATTCTAGCAACCAGGTGCTGTACAGTACAGGCTTATCCACAAAACTATTATTCAATTCAGCCCTCATCTAGACTTACTTTGAGTCCGTGCAGTTAACAACGGTGAGCATCTACACTGAATTAAATATCTTTTTTTTTTCAACTTTTCCTATGGTGGTGAAATTTTTAGGAACTACTTTAATTGTCAGGAAGTTTCATCACTTTATCTGGTTATTCACCATCTATGCTGTTTTACTGCTGCACAACTGCTCAATGCATGAACTTCCAAACAAGAAACAGTGTTTCATAACAAACATTATGGCAAATACTGTAGAAAAACCTTAAAAAATTAATTAATAAATAAATAAATGAAAATTTTATTTCAATAAAAATTCTCTGAAAGTACAGTACAAATGAATATATATAAAAGAAAACACTAGTCTCAGACACAACAAATAAATTCTGTGAGGAGTTAATAATGTGGGAGGTAATTATTACAAAGTGTGTAAGACTTATCATGTGTTCTGCTGACAAGTATAGTAGTCTCACTTCTTCTGTTGGATAAACCTACAGTTGTTGAAATGTCGAGTCTTGCTTTAGAAAGCTTTGGTTAATTGCATAATTTGATCAATCACAGGGTTATTTGAATCAATAGGAAACTACAAAATACAGATTTCTCATGTTACTACAGTAAATCCCCGATATAACGGACGTCTACAACAGACCAGCCTTCCCTCCAATTCATCCGTTATATTGGGGGTTTACTACTGAATATCCATAACCATAATCCTGGTTAACAGTTCTTGGATAAGGAACAATATCACATAACCGAAAAAGGCAGAATTCAATTAGAAATATTTCCAGCATTGTCTAAACACATCTACCATTACATAAATTTGGACAGAATATGCTTGTCATGCATATAATCTTGATAACATAATTTGTGAAGTTCCATACACTATTAGTAAATTTTTTAACTGGAAAAAGTAGTTAAAGAAAAAGTAATTTAAAATACTTAATTGAGATAAAACTGTATACCAAAAGAATTGTTCTTGTATACCAGGGTGAATAATGCTAGACATACACAAGAGGAAGGGGGGGGGGGTAATCTCTACCTTCACAACCCAAATGATCCAGGGCCAAGCTGGACTAAAGTTATTCTGCATCAGTTAACATGGAACTGGTTGTCCTTATGTTGAGGCCTCACACAATACTGTTCCCGCTCACCTCATAAGACTTCACCCCAGAACAGTAGGAAATAGTGTAAAAGATGTTGGCTTCAGGATTTTTTTTCTTCTAAAAACTCATAAGAAAAAATAAATAAATAAAAAAAAATAAAAATTAAGCAAGAAATATTTTTCTCAACATTTATTTTTCTATAAAAAAGTGAATACGTACAATACTCACTTAAAAAGCATGTCACACCTGAATACACTAATCTTAAAAGTGATACTGAATGCTACTGTACATAATTTTTAGCAAAATGTATCAAACCTTTCACTTCTCATAACACATTCACTCATTCACACTATATTACACTACTTCACCATTTTTGTTACAAATTTACATCTAGGACTTACAGCCCAAATCCTAACCATAAAGAAATGTCTCTTGGCATTACCATGACTGTACCAAGAACTAATACAGAGGTGTTAAAACTCTCATCAAGCATCAAAAATATGGAGGTTATAAGATTAATCCAAACAACTGTCTCAGCAAAACACGTAAGTGGCACCTCTGGAAATTCAGTGAATTTTTAGACAATGCTAACAAGGCAACATGATATATTTGTACATTATCATAACAATGGTTTCTCAGCCTCAGTCTGAAACAGTAACATGATTCTAACTAAATTTATAATGCCGACAGGTTTTAGACTAAGAGTTATCGTTGGTGTTATATCAAGTTACTGCATTCGCTTTATGCGAAAAACCTGTGTCTTTACCTGAGGTCTGTCCCAACAAGTACCAAGACAAGACCTGAAATTATTAGAATTTATACAGTTTACAAATTGCAGAGTTCATTTTCTTGTTCAACTATTCAGATACAGACAACAAGGTATCAGCTTCTACTGAATTTTACAGTCAAAGGCAATAATGATCAAAGGCAGTCTTACATGAACTCTGTAAAAATCCTAAGTGGTCATTATGCCATAAGCATAAATAGTACCTTTCAGGTTAACCAAACTGTACATACAAACTAGATATGGCTGGCATAACCAGGGCCATTCATTGAGAGTCCCATTTCTCTCCTCCTCTTTCACTACAAAATCACTAGCTTCTTCCTCCAAAAATGTCTGCTAGCTTTCTCCACTCAGCACATTTAAGTGTCTATGGCATAACATGGTCTCAATTCATTAACATTTACTGACACCTTCCATGCAATACTTTATGTTTCACTGCTGGAATTCACAAAACCCAATAGTGTGTGTAATCACAATATGACTGGAAGCTTCAGGCTTTGGGAGATATTATTTTATTGACCTAAGAACTTCGCGATTCAGTTGTTATATCACCATTACGTGTGTCTGTCGAAGCATCCGAGATGGACCCTGCTTCCGAGGATGACATGATCTGGGACGTATCACCGTTTGTAGTTGCTGAACTATTTCCGGAAGATGTTTTACGTTGCTTCGGTTGGAACTCTGTGATGATGACTGTGACATTGTTTACTGTGACTGCATTATGTTGTGCAGTGCTTCTATCTACATTCTTCAATCTTGGTCTGGAAATAAAAAATAAGGTGTTGAGACATGATTCTGTTTCCAATTGGAGAAATAGAATCTTCTAGATGGAAAAAATAACAGAGGGCTTATGTTCTTTTCTTAAGTGGTGGTTGTTTTTCATTGGCCTTTTTTACACTTTTAGTGGTAGTAGGTAGTAGACAGCTACCAAACAGGGAGGTACTACCGCCTGGGAAGATATTGGAAGCTTAATGTGTTGTCTAATGGTAGACCCTGCTGCTATAAGGCTTCACAAAAATTGTGACGAAGTCCCAGGTTGCTGATCTGTCTTTCTGCCTCATTTACACACAATTGCAGGGTTTCAATTGTTTCTTTTACAACACAATATACTGTACATATATCGTTTCTCACTATTGATTTTTTTTTATTTCTTTATGGTTATTTATTAATATTGTTACAGTGTTGTCATTACAATAAGTACTTGTTTAATGTCATCCCACTTAACGTTGTTTCGGTACTACGTCGCTGAATTTTAGAGACCAAAAATTTGTTTAACGTACCAGTGATCTGATACTACATCGTTTTGCGTGATCACAGACTACTTTCTACGGCGCATCAGCCACTCTTGTCTGGCTGCGCTACGCTCTCGGCTCGGCGCGCTGCCCTCACTCGCGGAACGTCACAGCGTCCCCAAGTGACAACAAGCCAGCCTCTGTTACGACTTCACATCATTCGTGTGTGCTTAAGTGCTTCTGCTCTAAAACTGTACTCTAACCATTCAAAATGGCTTCCAAGAGCCCATCAAGTGCTACTGATGCTAGTGTAGTGAAGAGGCAATGTAAGACCATTACCCTTGCTACAAAAATGAATGCATGGACCCGATTTGAAAAAGGGGAACTCCGCTGTGCTTGGTCTAACCCCCACAACGGTGTGTACTATCCGGACCAACACAGCATTGATGACAGTCTTGGTTGTTACACCAAGATCTATAAGGAGAAGAAGATGAGTAACACCAAGCAGTCAACATTGGATTAATTTTCTCGTTGCGGGACGGCAGAAGCTTCTTCAAAACAGCCGGCAGCCGAGGAGGAGCAACCAACAGCAGCGGAGGAACCCCAGTCAGAGCAGGAGGAGGAGGCAGCCGCAGAATCTCGGTGACTCGCCACCCTCCTCCTCCGCTCCTGCCCTCCTCCTCTCCCGCCCTCCTCCTCCTTCGCTCCACTACCCACCACACACTTGCTCTACCACCTCCACCCATCGGTGAGTACCAATACAAACTTAGTACTGTAGTTCTATATACTATTCTCTATAGAAATGGCAATAATTGTTTGTATATGTAACCTTTTTCATGGGGGCAAAGGGAGGCTCAGAAATGTAACTCCCGTAATTTATCTGTTTCTTATGGGGAAATACTGATCCGCTTAACGTCACATTTTCAGGAACGTAACCCCGATGTTAAGTGAGGGCCCCCTGTATTATTGTTGTCATTATTATTTTATTTTTATTTCTTATTATAATTTTTATTTTCTATTAATTATTACACAGTATTATTTTATTTTTAACCCTGAGGCCCGGGATGACGTTCCAGAACGTCTGACTAGCGCGTCCCGGGTGACGTTCCAGAACGTCGACCTATTCCAGCAATTTAGTATTATTATTAATATTATTATTATTTTTTAATTATTTTTGGAAAACTTGATTTTTTCCTCAATTTAACCCTGCGCGGGGGATACTGCCAGCAGCACCCTAACCCGGAGCATAAGGGTTAATGTTGTACAGTATTTTCATTATAATTTTTATTTACTATGAATTATTATTATTATTACTGCATTACATTTTCGCCCCCCAGGCCCGGGTGGGCTAATCCCCGTAAAAAACAAACAAAGAACACAGCAGATCACTCATAACCGACAGTATTTCTTTATATTTATCGACAATGGTTTCCCATCTACAGTACCTTTCTCCTTTTCATCTTTCCCTCTCACTACATTCCGAGATAATTACGGTATACTTTATTATTTATTTTTTATTTTACTCCAAAATATGTAATTTGAAGACCTATTTAACTGATAGGAATAGTATTTTAATTTTCCTAGCTTTCTGAACACTGGTGTAGGACCTTCATATTTTGATGGTGTGGTGATGGCTGGTTGCTGAAATGTTTGGCAACCTGTTTTGAATAAGTGACACAAAGACATAATTGATATACAGATACGAAGTGATGTTCCAAAAGGAAATTGTACAAAAATTAAATACAATACAGAATCCTGTTACCCAGCAAGGAAAAAATTTTATAAGAAAAGGATCTTTAAAAGAGGACTTATTTTAGACTGAATACTGAAGATATTAAAATGGTGACCGAGAGAAAGTTTGAGTATGTGTTAAAGTTGGATAACATCAATGCGGCGAAGATTCTGTTGTTTGAGGATCTGTTTAAAACTAACCTTCCTTTCTGTAGGTTACGACCTTCACCTTTCCGTTCTCGATCCTTTCTCTCTGATTTCTTCACTTTAGGAGGTACAACTTGTGCTACTTGTGCTGCCACTAACTCAGCATTCAAACGAGGTTTCCTGGAAAACATGACAAAAAGTCGATACAGATACATGGTAATTTGAAATAAAAGTAAGGTTTTTGAAATGAGGATTAAAACTTCCCTTATCAAAAAGCCTAATGAGTACCCCCCAAGGCCGTCTTAATGAGTGGGCTGTCTGATGGTTGCAATGCAGCAAATCACTGTACAAGTAAGGTGAAGTCACACATATTTCATCAAAGGAGAGTAGCGTACAAATAGACCTTAACAATCACATGGGTTAAGTTCTTGGAAAGTGCTGTGAATTTCAAAGGCACAGATGTTAATACCTCAACCTTATGTAAGAACACAAGTTAGGGACCACACCAATGGCAAAGTAGAGGAAAATTCAATATATAAAAATAAAAATCAAGTTACTATACTAAATGTTAAATAATACTTCCTTGAGATAAATGTATAGTATATATCAGGTCCCTAAGAGAGAGCTCAGGTTCTCAACTGGCTCAGCCATGTTAATATTGTTATTATTATCCACTCTGTATCTGTGTTTTTCTGGCTAAATAAACTACAGGTTGTACCTCTCTAGTCCGGCAACCTCGGGACCTGACCGGTGCCGGACCATGGAAATTTCCGGACCATGGAAATTCACCCTTTTCCTGGATAGATAGTGACTTGTGCATACACTTGGAAGCAATAGCACCTCTTTCACTGCTTCGTGGTCTCTTTGAAGACATATTGAAGGGTTAAATGTTGTACAGTAGGTTCTCAAATTTCGCGAGTTTTTAATTCGACGTTTTTATTTGGACCAAAAAAAAAAAAAACCTGCGCAATTTAAAATTTTGACGACGGAAACTCGAATTTTGACGGGTTTGAGCGGCCCGCCAATGTTCAGACGTGCACAATTGTGTAAACAGCGTCATTTCTCTATGTACAAACCATTCATTATTGTTTATTACTGAATGTCTTTTCAATTGAATTAATGTTTATGTGTGCAAAATAAACAATACAATGCATTAATAATACGTAGAATATTAAAACACACGAGGAGACGAGACAGCATTGTTTTCGTTGTTTACAAATCCAGTGATTGACTGGTTCTACATATAAAACTGAAGAAAATAAGACCCTGGTTGTAGCTGTAGTAAAATTAAAATGGTTGTTTTAAGTACTGTAATGTTTATTTAATGTTAATAAATGGAACAATGGAAGTACACCTAGACCCCGACTTACGACTACGTGGACTTACGACCGCCTCAGATATAGATAATAAAAAAAAAAAAAAAAAAAAAAATTAAATGACACACGCATTTTCTATACCGAAACGTTTCCAGTTAATGTAGTCTCCATGTATAATTAGAAAATTATGGGGGCCCCGTGTGCATTCAGCTGACTACATTTAAGGTAAGTGCTCAGTCACACTGTATCCATTCCTCATTATTTATTACTTTTACTGTACTGTATCCATTCATCATTATTTTTTACGTTTAGTGTACTGTATTTCATTGTAGATTTTTAATTTTTTTTTGAAATAAAAAAATAAAATAAATAAATAAATTTGAATTTTTTTTTTTTGAAAATTTTGAATTTTTTTATCTATGTCGGACTTACGACCTGGATTTGGGTCCCTAACCCCGTCGTAAGTCGGGGTCTAGGTGTAGTTAACCATTAATGGTTAAAAAAAGGAGAGATCGCTTATGTAAGTGCGCACATGGAAAACATATCGTCATTACTCGACATAAGAATATGAAAGCAACACCTATTTACTGTTCATTTATATTTTAATTAATGTTTCTGAATTAAAAAATAAAATTCTACCCACCAGTGGTGGTAAAGTTGAAAACATAAAGACAGCCAATGTTGTTGTGTGTTTTTACTCGGATGACGAAGTTGCCAAGCCACCAGGTTCAACTCTAGCTGAAGCTGTAGAACATAAGAAGTTTTCTGTGTTGTTTTTAGTTTTTATTTAACTTTATCTGTTATTTTCGTTGGTTTATTAGGATGTTGCTTTATTACAGATAGTAATTCACCAAAAAAGTAGGGTAAATAAGGCCAAATTTAGCCAAACATCGAAAGTACTAAACTCAAATTAATTTTCTCCATGGGCAAACTAAAATCGTTCCAGACTACAGAATGCTGGACTAGAGAGGTACAACCTGTATTTCAATTCAATTCAGATGATAAATCTCATAATGTTGAAGAGTACATCTGTATACATGGCAACCTGATGAATTAATAAATGGCTTTTGTGATGAAGAATGTTTGCATTCTAACAAAAATATCATGCAAATAAAATTTCATTTGCCTCTTTAGTACTGAGCAAGTAGTATGATGTGACAGAGATTATCACAGCCTTATAATAGTAAAAGCAACAAAATTACTGTAAACTCTACGTGACCTTGAGTATGGGGATTCCAGTGTATTCTGTCTATGAAAAATTACCTTGTGCAAGATTTATGAGCACAGTAGTGATGGGACATCTTAAGTCAGTGAGTGACCCTCCATCTCAGTGAGCAGTACAAGTGACCATCCATCTCAGTGAGCTGTATGAGTGACCATTCACCTCAGTGAGCTACATGAGTGACCCTCCACCTCCGTGAGCTACATGAGTGACCCTCCACCTCAGTGAGCAGTACAAGTGACCATCCATCTCAGTGAGCTGTATGAGTGACCATTCACCTCAGTGAGCTACATGAGAGACCCTCCACCTCCGTGAGCTACATGAGTGACCCTCCACCTCAGTGAGCTACATGAGAGACCCTCCACCTCCGTGAGCTACATGAGTGACCCTCCACCTCAGTGAGCTACATGAGTGACCCTTCACCTCCGTGAGCTACATGAGTGATCCTCCACCTCAGTGAGCTACATGAGTGACCCTCCACCTCAGTGAGTTACACGAGTGACCCTCCACCTCAGTAAGCTACACGAGTGACCCTCCACCTCAGTGAGCTACACGAGTGACCCTCCACCTCAGTGAGCTACACGAGTGACCCTCCCACCTCAGTGAGCTACATGAGTTGACCTCCACCTCAGTGAGCCATGAGTGACCCTCCACCTCCAGTGAGCTACAGGTGACCCTCCACCTCCCGTGAGCCATGGTGACCCTCCACCTCAGTGAGCATGAGTGACCCTCCACACTCCGTGAGCTACATGAGTGACCCTCCACCTCAGTTACCTGTGTGACCCTCCACCTCAGTTACCTGTGAGTGATGACCCTCCACCTGAAGTGAGCTACATGGTGACCCCCTCCCACCTCCACCGACCCACATGGTGACCCTCCACCTCAGTGAGCTACATAGGTGACCCTCCACCTCAGTGAGCTACATGAGTGACCTCACACTCAGTGAGCTACATGAGTGACCCTCCACCTCAGTGAGCTACATGAGTGACCCTCCACCTCAGTGAGCTACATGAGTGACCCTCCACCTCAGTGAGCTACATGAGTGACCCTCCACCTCAGTGAGCTACATGAGTGACCCTCCACCTCAGTGAGCTACATGAGTGACCCTCCACCTCAGCGAGCTACACGAGTAACTCTCCACCTCAGCGAGCTACATGAGTGACCCTCCACCTCAGTTACCTGTATGAGTGACCCTCCACCTCAGTTACCTGTATGAGTGACCCTCCATCTCAGTGAGCTGTATGAGTGACCATTCACCTTAGTGAGCTACATGAGTGACCCTCCACCTCAGTGAGCTACATGAGTAACTCTCCACCTCAGTGAGCTTCATGAGTAACTCTCCACCTCAGTGAGCTACATAGGTGACCCTCCACCTCAGTGAGCTACACGAGTGACCCTCCACCTCAGTGAGCTACATGAGTGACCCTCCACCTCAGTTACCTGTATGAGTGACCCTCCACCTCAGTTACCTGTATGAGTGACCCTCCACCTCAGTTACCTGTATGAGTGACCCTCCACCTCAGTTACCTGTATGAGTGACGCTCCACCTCAGTTACCTGTATGAGTGACCCTCCACCTCAGTTACCTGTATGAGTGACCCTCCACCTCAGTTACCTGTATGAGTGACCCTCCACCTCAGTTACCTGTATGAGTGACCCTCCATCTCAGTGAGCTGTATGAGTGACCATTCACCTCAGTGAGCTACATGAGTGACTCTCCCCTTCAGTGAGCTACATGAGTGACTCTCCACAGTTACCTGTATGAGTGACCCTCCACCTCAGTGAGCTACATGAGTGACCCTCCACCTCAGTGAGCTACATGAGTGACCCTCCACAGTTACCTGTATGAGTGACCCTCCCTCAGTGAGCTTCCATGAGTGACCCTCCACCTCAGTGAGCCTACATGAGTGACCCTCCACCTCAGTGAGGCTACATGACCCTCACCTCAGTAGGCTACATGAGTGACCCTCCCACCTCAGTGAGCTTCATGAGTGACTCTCCTTCAGTGAGCTACAAGAGTGACCCTCCACAGTTACCTGTATGAGTGACCCTCCAACTCCAGTGAGCTACATGAGTAACCTACACCTCAGTGAGAGCTACATGAGTGACCCTCCCACCTCCAGTGAGCTACATGAGTGACCTCCACCTCCCAGTGAGCTACGAGTATCTCTCCCACCTCAGTGATATTTCCATGAGTGACCCTGCACAGTGCCTGTATGAGTGACCCTCCACCTCAGTGAGCTACATGAGTGACCCTCCACCTCAGTGAGCTACATGAGTGACCCTCCACCTCAGTGAGCTACATGAGTATCTCTCCACCTCAGTGAGCTACATCAGTGACCCTCCACCTCAGTGAGCTACATGAGTGACCCTCCACCTCAGTGAGCTACATGAGTATCTCTCCACCTCAGTGAGCTGTACGAGTGACCATTCACCTCAGTGAGCTACATGAGTGACTCTCCCCTTCAGTGAGCTACATGAGTGACCCTCCACAGTTACCTGTATGAGTGACCCTCCACCTCAGTGAGCTACATGAGTGACCTTCCACCTCAGTGAGCTACATGAGTGACCAGGGCTGTGGAGTCGGAGTCGGAGTTGAGGAGTCGGAGGAAATTTCGGCTTGTGGAGTCGGAGTCGGTAAAA